GAAATTATAATTATTACTTTACATTTTATAATTATTTTTTTAGATAAATAATAGCTAATTAAAAATATTTAATAATATTATCTAATTTAAAATGTATTATTGACAACTATAAGAAAAATAGTACATTACATGATTTATAATGTAAAAATTAATAAATAAAATAAAATATTTGGTTATCAATGTAAAAATTAATAAAATGCGTACAAATTTTGAAAATAACACTTTAATTTATTATATGCCCAAGAGGGAACAAAAATTAGCTCAAGAAGGGATAAACTATTATATAACCTAAGGAGGGATTCGAACTTGAGAAGTCAAAGCAAATAACATTAGTGATAATCATCATGCCTCCTTAGCATATGTATTTAAAATTGCCAATTAATACCATATATTTAAATTTTGCTTTCATTTAATGATATTTGGAAATTATCTCACATCGAATGATGAGTATTCAAATATGCTATATAAATAACTATGTAATTGAAAAATAAACACAAGTGTGAAAACACTAGGGCATCCGTGCACATGTGGATGTGCATGTATGTGTCGCACATGTGGCACATGTGGGAGTGGTGTGTGCCCCACGTGTGATGTGTAGGCTAGAACCGTGTCACACGTGTGACGTGTAGGCTAGAACCGTGTCGCACGTGCCGTGCACATGTGGGAGTGGTGTGTGCCGCACGTGTGACGTGTAAGCTAGAACTGTGTCTCACGTGTGACGTGTAGGCTAGAACCATGTCGCACGTGTGACGTGTAGGCTAGAACCGTGTCGCACGTGCCATGCACATGTGGGAGTGGTGTGTGCCGCATGTGTGATGTGTACATGTGGGAGTGTGACATGTAGGCTAGAACCGTGTTGCACGTGCGATACATTTGGGATTGGTGTATGTGTGACGTGTAGGCTAGAACCGTGTTGCACGTGCCGCGTACATGTGGGAGTGGTGTGTGCCGCACGTGTGACGTGTACTTGTGGGAGTGGTGTGTACGTCACGTGTGACGTGTAGGCTATAACCGTGTCGCACGTGCCGCGCACATGTGGGAGTGGTGTGTACATGTGGGAGTGTGAGGTGTAGGCTAGAACCGTGTCGCACATGCGGTACATGTGGGAGTGGT